CTGAAGCCACTGTCGATTCCAACGGATTGTTGGAAGTCGGTCAATTTGGACTTCATGTTTGGCTTACTGACTGACCATAAAGGCAGGACGGGGCTCGTCGTCTTTGTAGACAGACTAAGCAAGATAATGCATTTTTAGCACCATGTAGCACCAACGTCTCAGGAAAGAGGCTGTCCTCTTGTTTCTGGATCACGCGTACCGACTACACGGGATGCCCGAATCCATAGTATCGAATCGGGATCCGGTTTACGTCGGGTTTTTGGCGACATGTGTTTGATCTGCTGGGAAGCAAGCTCCACATGTTAACCGCTGATTATCTTCAGACCGATGGCCAAACAGAACGGGCCAATCGAGTCGTGGCGGATGTGTTGCGTACAATAGCGACTCCCAAAGAATGGAGAAAGCAATTGCCATTCGTGTAGTTTTCTATTCATAACAGTGTTCACGCCAGTACAGGTGAAACACCGTTTTACGCTAACCGACTGCGTCATCCTCGAACGCCAGTCTCGTTTGTACGCAGCCCGAGTCTTAGTGGGGGAGGGCCCCTCACTTCGCTCGGTGCAAATGCCAAAGAGGGCCAAGGTTGCCCTAGTGACACTGCTAATTTAGCAGTGTTCACGTCACCTATAGGTGTCACAGAGGATGCATGGCAAGAAATGCCTGTGATCCTTGATGATGACACTATAGTGTTATCACCAGCGTCGACCCATGAACGACCTCTTGGAGGCGTCATAGGCGAGCTGGATGCTAAACGCGTGAGCGAAGCTCAGTGCTTTGTGGATGAGCGATTAGCCATCACACGTAAAGTCTGTGACGCGATGGCAAGCGCACAGGACAAGCAAAAATAATATGCAGACCAGCATGGTCGAAAAAGCAATAAACACTTTAGTGTTGGGGACAAAGTGCTATTAAGTACTGGTACCCTACCTAAACATGCAATTTCTGTACGGACTAGTGGTACTACTAAGCTATTGCCCCGATTTATTGGGCCCTTTACAGTGGTTGAAGAAGTTGGAGACCTAAATTATAGTCTCACTCTCCCACTGTATATGAAGACGCACCCCGTATTATATGTGGGTCGTCTGAAACAGTATGTGGATCCACAAGAGATCACATATCCACATCGGTCTAACGAGAACGATGGTGACGTCGACTGTGAGTCGAGCGTAGTTGCCGATCAGGCGACGGGGAAGGAGAACGACTTCCCGTATACGAGACAGATGACAGAGAACTCGGCGATCGAGGAGGACTCCGCGCTTGACGCGGGTCTCTCATCATCAGTCGCTCATGTATGTTCAAACGGGTCTTTAGGCGGTCATAATCCCTCGTCCTCACATCGCGCAGATCCGAGTTCAGTCGCGAGATTTGACCCTCGAGATCTGTAACCTGCCTCTTCAGCGCAGCAGACTCAGCCTGCGACTGTACAGCAGCAGGGTAGGCAGCCGCGAGTAGGTGGGCGTAATCTCCACTCCTATCGGGCTCCACCTGTGTTGGTGGACACGGAAGAGAATACGCGCTTCCTTGTTGAAAGGCTGTTGGCCCACCGGTTTGTGAAGCAAAAGCTCCAAATCCTTGTCCAGTGGAAGGGTTACCTAACGAGCTTTGACTTATGGAATCCTGTTGACGCCTTGCGCGTCGACGTGCCTGGACTGGTGGCTGCTTATGAGAAGCAGCAACAGCTAGCGTCTTTCTGCTAGGTCCGGATGGACTAGCAGAAGAAGCGTAGCGAGAATTAATTGGGGGTCGCTTACCACCCAAGATATTATTCGCATCCTTCATGGCGAAGCTGATTCGCTGCGACCGCTGTTTCACTTCATCTGCATGCTGTTTGAAACGGCGCAGGAACTCTGCTTCGTATATGTCAGCTGTTTCGTTAGAACGCAGCACGAATGAAATTGGGAAAGCACGACCAAGTGCTTTGCCCAGCTTTTTCCACAAAGGAAAGACGCTATAAAATTTATGAGCGTCAATAGTGGCACGCTGCAAAAGCGCTGCACTAGACCCCTTCAAGTTTATCCACTCGGATCGAGGTAGCATTGGTGGCAAGCCACTACTCACGTAGCCGCCCTCGCGATGACGGGCTAGTAAGGCAGAAGGTGTACTCGGTGGAGCTTTCAGCTCACACTCACCTAAGTCTGACTCTCCGTTATGAATTGTCAAGACATCAGTATGAGAAGTCACAGCTGAATGAGTTGCGACTGCTTTTTTTAAAGTAGCTCACTCAGTATTAGTCGCTGCGCTCGTAGACGCAGGCGACGAGGCCTTACCTTCACTTGCAGAAAGCATAGAAGCTTCCTCAAGAACGGGTGCCTCAAGTGATGGGAACATATGTCCCATCAACGCGCTTTACTCATCTCCACTTTGGGGTAATGGCATTGGTGTGCTCTCATTGTAGTCTACAATGAGAGACGGAAGATTCGTCTCAGTGTCTGAAGCACTTGCGACGGCTGCAATAATCGCTGCCCGTGCGCTTACTGTTGGACTGCATGGGCGCCTGCAAAGCGATCCATCAGCCTTACCGCGTTTCGGTGACATGAGAATCTAGTAGACTCCCCAGCAGCACGTTTTACAACGGCTCGCAGTCTCTCTGTCTCCTAGGCGATGTTTTACAAAATGTAAAATCGTTCTAAATCAGGGGATGGTGTAACAGGGCATCTGGTTACACCTAAACATTAAGTAATATACTTAATGTTTGGTCTAAGAGTATCCATGATTATTTTTGACCTGTCACTTGGGTGCTAAACACAAATGTGATCCACCCTCGTGAATGTGATATCCATTGATGGATTCACATGGAAAGGGATGACGCTAGTTGAAGCTAGGCATCGCGACGTCTCAGAAGGAAGCTTAAATCTAGATTTAAGCTCATGCGTCAGGATACGCTTGTAAAGAGTCGCGTATCCGATTTTTACATAATCAGCCAATCAGTAGTTAAGCTTAGATTTAATTATAATTCATTAAATATAACTCAGTCTTGAATTTACTACACACTGTCTACTAAGCACAAGTAAGCTTCTGCGTGACGTAAGTAGGACACTTGATAATTGTTCGTTGCGCTCTCGCTTAATAGAGAGGCAACTGGTGGTACGACTGCTTAATCAGTTGACCAACCGCATATCCACCCTCGCACGCGAAGGTAAGACGGTCAAATCGCTTCCTCGCTTGTGTTGAAGGTGTGTGCTAAAAATCACGAGGCAACTTCGTAGAAGTGCCCGTCTACACCATCGAAGTGGCTCACTTACCGCATGCGTTGGATTATCTTACATTCTCTACTCTCGCCTGGTTCCATTAAGCGGCGCGCGCTATAAGCGCCGCGCTAAAAGCATTTTAGGCTGTACGATCTTGTGCACATAGGCGAAGGAAGTACAGGTATGGGGCCAGTCGACGGCGGTGTTCAGCCGCAGGTATCTTGCTTGGATCCCTTGAATGTCTATCTTGTCAAAAGGTCCCACGTAGGGAGGGTCTCTTGTTGCTTGCACCGGGAACAAAGGATTAAGCGAGCGTACCTAAGCGGAGATGCCGGTTGGCAAGAGTGGCAAGAGAGAGGTGTGTAGAGGGAGAGGACCGTCCAAAACTGACGGATGCCGCCGAAGCATCCGTTAAAGGCCTGATGCTAGCATCATGCTAGCATAAGCCTTCCGGGAGAGCGTTACCAGATTTTGTCTTATGGTGTGGTGGAAATAGCAAAAATGTTGCTGGAATTAGTAATACCGTATAAAAAATTATCAGCGGTACAAATATGAATCAAATCATAATTGTATTATAGTGTGGATTAATAAATTTATTCAATGCTGTTTTAAAAAAATATTCAAAAGAAATATTACTTTTTGCTATTTTTATATTAGCTTCTTTGAATATAAAATTTGCCAAACGAAATGGCACTGAAGCAGCTAAGAGGACGATCAGAAGTTAAAATTAAAAGACGACGGAACTGGAACTTGAAGAGTCCGACTTGCAATTTGGGCCTACGAGCAACAACGGTCAAGCAAGGAGCCAAGGTTGATGAGGGTACGCTTTCTCTGCGCTGCGTGCGCTACGAGAGGCTGCGCAGCGTGCGAATCTGGCAGAGAGCAACAGGCACGAAGTCATGAAATGTGGGGCATGTCGACAAAGCGTTGAACACCTGTCTGTCCCGACTCAGAACCGGAGCTGCATGTTAGGAATAAGTCAGGCTGGTCAGGCTGGGAAAGCCGGTTTGGTCAAACCGTCTCGCCACCTGCCCCCTGCATGTGCTTAGGTTTGGTCAAATTGTCTTACGTGTTTTTTGGATGGAAGTCGTCGTCATTGAGCCAGCATTATAAGCTAGTTCATAGGAGAACGACTAAGTTATTGCAGAAGATCAGGAGATTTTCATACAGACATGTTTGTTAACAATCGTAAGGAATCTAAGTAGACAGTCTGATCATCAACCAGAAAAGTCTTGACATAGCAGACGTTTCTTGTCTACTACTGTAATCAGTAGAGTAGTAGATTACTAGCTTTACTATGACATTGGATAGTAGAGTCTATTGTCTAATGTAATAGCAAAGCTGATTTTTTTAAATCTAGAATGCATTTTACTATGATCATGGCACATGCATCGCTATTCAGCTACGTAGATGATTATTGCTGTCATATTCCTTCCTCATCTAGATTATAATATTTGTTGCTTCTTGGAATAAGATAAATGTACATGTCAAGTACTACGACCGTATCGTCGATTGTTGTCACTATGATTTCGTAGTCGTTGTATCCACGCATCAAGAGCTTAATGTCTCATTCACTACGTAGTGTCAATCGCATAGAAAGAAGCATATTCTTCGTCAAAAAAAGTAATACACCACAGTTTATTGCACATACGAGTGTGCTGGCTAGTTCTAACCTGCTGTAGAAGCATATTCAATCCCCGCAAATGCTACCAAGACACACACGTTCAAAATGAGAAAACTTTACCATAGTGTAGCTCACTCAAGTTGCGTCGCTATATAACGTTAGTTGTCTCGATTAAGCTCGTGAGTTGCTCAAAGCGTAAATTCACGGTCGTCCTTCCGAGCGCCTTCATTAGTCCGATCCGCTTCTGGGTTGTACTTGTACGAAGCCATGGCTGTACCCTGGCCATCATTGTCCGGTGTCACTTGCATCGACTCAATGTCGCAGCTTTTTGAACCCATCGGAACAACATTCGATTGGTACTCCTCCTTCTCCTGCTTCTTCTTGCGGCTCCCAACAAGTGCTCGAACTGAAATGATAATGGAGAAGAGTGCCGCAACTCCACCACCAATTGTCACGAGCCACTTCCACAAAGGCCAGCGATCGCATTCCGGTGGGTTTGTCCAATCCGAGACACACACACAAGTCCTTGTTCCATCAACTGTCTGTACACTAGCTCGTTGCTGATTACAGTTCTTCACAGTCGCATCAGCCGGCGTCGAACTCGTATCCGAATCACTGGAACTCGAAGGCAGAGGCACCTTGACGTCATTTGCGTCACACGTGTCACTGCCCGAGTCCCCCTTTTCGATCGTGACCGAATGTTCTGGTGACGCCTCGGTACAAGTATCACTGCCCCAGCCTCGAAAGTAAATGGTACCAGCAGACTTGGCACAGATTAGAAACGTGTCCGATTTCTTCATGGCTTCAGCATCAGACACTGTCGGGGTCACTGTCTTCTTTTGACCGGTCTTAAGCGACACGTACGTAACGTTCACGACACCATTCCAAGTAAATGAGATAAAGGTACCGGCCTTGACTACGGCCGTCACCCCATCGTTTCCATAGGACACAGTATCTCCATAACTCGGTTCACCCAAATTACCACATTCAAAGCAGCAAACCCCTGCTGGCTTTATGGCCGTGCACTGATCAAAGATCAGTGGATCATAGTTGTAAGGGGCCTGCGATGGCTTACCAATGCACTCACTACAGCAAACGTGATCACTCTTGGCTTCATGAATGGCTTGCGTTACATGAAACACTAAGGCTAGAAGAATCAAATACAAACTCAATAAACTGAGGGGGCGGTATGAGGCCATTTTCAAATCTGTCGGCTGCGAAATGAACGTTCAGGAGAAGAAGAAGAAGAAGAAGAAGAAGGAGAAGAAGGAAGGACGATCGACCGTATGCAAAACTTTGTACCAAAAATAGAGACAGCCAAGCGCCTGTCTTCGTTTTTTGTTGTCGTAAAGATGTCAGATGAGTTGGTGAGCCCTGCTTAACGGTTGAAAAATATACAAAAACGCCAAACAATGGGCACATTATTAGACATGATAGTACGTTGAGATACGTATTTTACAAAGAGGCAGTCTTATCCATACAATAAATGGACTAGAAAAAAAGAGAGCCGGTTTGACATACTGAGAAATGTTTGTGGCTGAGATAAAGCCCATCCACCTTATGTCGTCAAATTTGTTGCAAGAGAAAACAGTTTTCTCTAAAACCAAATGTAAAAACTGGTCGAGCGTAGATTTCTTGTTCTCTATCAATGGGTAGGTAGTCCATGCATAATACACACACTTTTTGTCGTGTGATCGAATTAAAGAGTCCGGCTGGCCCCAAAAATCCACCACGAGCCTACGAAACATTTCTTGAACTTGTTAAACGAAAGAGCGATTTTTGACGAATTTGCGACAAAACTTTTGGGAATTGTCGAAGATAAACGGAATCATGAGTCTAAACGCCTTTACTGCCTTTATTGCTAATCTTTGTATACCTCTTGCTTCCATTTACTCTCTTCGATCTGATTTTCACTGGTGGCGTATAATGATAAATGAAATAAATCAAGCATATGCCTCTGTTAGTGTGCAAGTGTTGTATCTAGCTATGCATCTCAATCTACAGTCGAACAGATTGAGTCTCAGCATGTAAATCGGCATCCGGGTACTGCTGCGACTGCAAGAATGATATTGAGCGAGGTTGGTTCCTTGGATAGCTGATCTGACCTTGGCGCAAGTCTTCAAGATGTTCCGCCTCAAACTCCGCCTCAAAGTCAAAAGTGGACGACAAGTGCGATGTCAATTGTCCAGGACGGGGCACAGGTTCCGCAACCTGCCACTCTGCGGACGAGGCCTTGGAGCTCTCCACACCACTGAGTCCCGTGCTTAATCCATACTGCAGTCCTCCTCCTGCAGGAGACAATTCTTCTAGACTTCCCAAACGTCGAAAGCTGAAATTATCCTTGTCGCTACGTGAAGTTGGACCAGGGCGGGCAGAGTCGCCGGACTGGGCGATATTAATGCCGCTAAAGCCAAACTGCATGGCATTGGCCATGGCATTCGACGCCGCGCTATTAGGAGGGGGTCCGAAGTTCCGGTTGCTGACACCAGACGGACCAAATTTGACGTTCACAGCCGAAGATGCTGGATTGGTGGAAGCCATACCCGCTGAACGGTTCATTGCGGCCGACGTTTGCGCAATACGCGTCTGCTGCTTGTGCATTTCGTCCACGACGAACTCGTCTTCATCGGTCACAAGAGCCTTCTCTGGCGCCGACTCGCGCATAGACCTCTGGTACTTCTTCTCAGCCTTGGTCTGGATGGCGCCAAGTTTCGTGCTTGCGCAGAACATAAAGAGCACGAACGTAAGAACGGCACAGCAGCCCGATAAAATGAAGCTCGAGAGTGAGAAACCTGGATTCAGCCAGTACACGATGATTTGGACAGCATAGTACACGCACAGCGATAGCGTCCAATAAAGCGGCCGACGGGACGCCGGGAACATTTCGAGGGCGGAAAGCCACGTCACGCTCATGAGACTTAAGCTCGCAGATATGTACAACAGACACAGTAGTGCCTGCACAAAACCGCCGTCGGCTCGTGACACCGCGCCAACAACACCACAAGTGAAGGCCATTAAAGACACGAACGGCAAGAACTCTTTCAGAATGGTTTTACGACGCACATTGTCCACTAAGAAGCTGCCGAATGCGTATCCGGTCGCGCAGCACAACGCAAAGTATACTTCCCAGTAATTGTTGGCATTGCCGCTGTTGCTTGCGGTCACCTTAAGCGTTCGCCGGAGCAAGATTGTCTGCGACATAACCAAACCGAAGACAGCCTGGAGAGCAAATACGATCGATAGACGGAACTTGAGATGGTTTGCCCTGGTCTTTTGAGCCAGCTCGGCTTGAATTAGAACAATCTCCGGGTTCACATTCACGCGCCGGCGTAGTCGAATGAGCACAGCGCGAGCCAGCTCCTCATGCTTGTGTGCAAGGAGCCACACCGGGCTTTCAGGCACGAACCGAAGAATACCGAAAAATCCAATGATCAACGCAGGCAGGACAAACAGAGGCTGGAAACGCCACATGTTTGTAGGCTTGTTGTCATAGTCCTCTGCAATCGATGTAGCGTTCGTGTTTGCCATCAATAGCGAGTGCACAAACCAACCGATCATAGAACCCATCAAGAAAATAGTGACACTCTTTCCATGCCAACCTTTTGTGCAAATTTCAAAGCTGTATAGAAGGTAGTTCATCGCCACCATTGATGATCCCATCGCAGCCAAGCCGCACGAGACAATAATAACTGACATGCTTGCAATAAAGTTGAGCCCAAGCGAAATAAACATCAGACTACCACCGATAGCCATGTTTGCACGCCGACCAAGAACGCGGCCAATCAGCAATGACAACAAAACAGCGAAGATACTCACGGCTGCGCAAATAATCTTCAGATATCCGTTCTCCATGTAGCTCAACAATCCGGATCCTTTGTTCGACAGCTCCGTGGTCACAAAGTAGTAGAAAGATCTGTTCATGAACTTGTCGTTCGGATCATTGATATATCCGAGCGTGTACAGGAACGAAGTCATGAAGCCGTGGATAAAGCCACCTAGCAAACCGAGCAAGATGCACAGTGAAGCTGCCACTTCTGACCCTGAGCTCAGTGCACGCGAGAAACCACCGTTGTACATAGCACGCGTCTGGAGGATACGCATGAATGGCAGTACAGACAATAGAAACAGTGGAATGACCAGGAACAGACCAACGATCATGTCCATTAAAAAGCCAAGCGCCATCACTGGGCTCCACATTGCTACTTCCATACCGAAGACACCGTTGAACGCAAGGGCATACTGTACAATAGAGTTGAAGCCCAAAAACATAGCGATAGAGAACGTGAGGCACTTCTGTACGGACCAACCTCCCGCAGACCCAATCAATGGAATCAACAGGATACCTCCAATGACACATACCATGTACATAATGCCTTGAACAGTAAGCGAGTTCAATTTACGGTGCTTCGATACACAGTGGTGTACACGATTCCCAAACCACAGCAAAACCCACGTTACACCGATAGCGGTAAACAGCAGAGCAAACCAAACGAGCTCAAACTCTGTCATGAACACATAGTACATCGCCAATGGGTGGCGTAGCTCACGAATGCAGTACGTTAAGCGGCCCATTCCGCCCAAGGGCAACATCAAATCGACATCAGACTTCCACCAGTCGTCCCAACCATCTTTTGGACCAGAGCTAGTCTGCTTATCGGCTTCCTGGTTATTCGCATCTTCCTTTTGGTGGGACTGCATCATCCAAGCAAACCAATTCGCGATATCGACCTTGGATTTCTGAAAGACTAAACCATCCGTGTTAAAGACGAAGGGGGCCATTAGCCAGCATGCACCGAGGAACAGCACAGCAAATGACGCAATACCGTAGCTCTGTGGATGGTTGCTAAAACCGGCTAGCGACGTGATATTCGCGGGAATAAGATCAGGATCCTTTTCGCAATCAAATTCTGCTGTAGCACAAAAATCTTCGAGCGCGCCAGAACCAATATCGAAAGTACCGTAAATTCCAAACAAAATCATTATTCCGATCAGCTCCACGGCCTTTCGGAAGTGCGAAACGGCGTATTCCTTGAAAAAGTTTACCATCGGATCACGCGTGATCGAGAAACCACGGCCGGTGCCTCGGTACTTGGAACCACCACGATTTAATGCTACATCATAGAAGTGTGCCTTCGTGCCCGTCAAGAACACATAAAACACAATGCCAAGAGTCGATATTAGCTCAATCACCTTTAGCAAAGCTTGCTTGAATCCAAACTCCACGAACAAGGTCGCAAACAAAGGCAATGTGGTCAGCATACCAAACTGAAGCACATACTGCGTGGTCATCACACTAGCGAGTGAGTCGAGGCTACCCGTTGTCATGACAGCCGTGAGCGCAACCTCGGAGTGAGTCGCAACGTACAGCTTGCAGTACGCGTACACGTACACGCAGAAAACCGTAAGAACATTGCAAATGTAGAAACCGAAGTGACCATAGAACATAGAATTCAGACGCGGAAAATCCAACGAATTGGTCAGGCGGTGGCCCTCACGACTCAGACAACTTTCAGCGCAACCATTAGACAGCTTTGCTTCGAAAGCATTAATCTGACTTAGCGTCACATCACGACCCTTGCCACACTGCATGAATTCGATGTGCGACACTAAACCGCCACGGAGGGTGACGTTGTAGCCACTGAAGACATCTTCCGACAGATTGATACCCTTACTCGCCTTGGACACACCACCGCTCGTCACAACAAAAGACTTCTCGAAAACATCTGGGTGACCGTAATGCATACGCGAGCGAAGCGGCTTGGCCAACACACGCTGCGTGAGCGTCACGAATACCAGTTCCTGAAGAGTCATGAAACGTGCAAGAGACGAAGCGCGTCCAGTAAAAACATGCTCTTTCATACCGATCACAGTAACCTCCTCACCAGTGCTCGTAGCAGTTGCCAAAAAATTAGGCATCTTTAAGCACTCTTCAAGATAGTGCTCCTGATTCATATCGATTGTCTGCAAGTATTCACCACGCGTGAACGGTAGTGCCACGTTTTGATTCTCGGGCTTACCTTCACCAAGAATCGGGTTGCCAGGCAGTTCATAACGATAGACTTCAACAATTTCATCGGCTTCAGCCTTCACAAGTACGCAGTCAAACCGATTAATCTCCTTGTCTCCATCTTTCTCCGTAATTGAGTCCACGAAACTAACGCGCCAGCTTGGGAACTTCTTCATCAAGTAATCGATATCGGCTGCGCGAGGATCGCCGTTTGCAACCTGCTTTGAGTAAATCTGACACCCCGTAATGTAAGAAAATTTCAGAGCAGAGATGCGATTCATCTCATCGAGTTTTTCCTGGACGCTCATGTCCCGAAGAGAATACACTTCTAACCAGCGCAATAGGCGAATTGCATCTTCGTACAACATCATACCGTGGACCGTTCGAGCAAGCGTCTGGCCCCGCATTGAAGCCCATAGGCGCACTTCCGTCGAGTTAATTTCAAGCGCCTCCTCCAGTGATGCAGCGCCCATTCTTTCCAAAAAATTGCTCCATTCTTCGGCGTGAAACGTAATCAAATATTTCATGATCGTTAGCTCTGTCCAACCCTTTGCCTTTTGTTTTTTCTCAAGCTCAGCAAATAGAGGGTTTGAGTGAACTGGGTTATTGAGCTCATCTAACGTAAAGAGCACAGTCTCCGAGTAGTAAGGAGTCATAACAGAAAAAGACGGCATGGCCTCCATCGAGACTACGCGCGGCATTTCCATTGACAGCGAGTGCAAGAAGAAACCCATGCGACGCTTTGCATCCTCACAACGTGGAAGCGAGTTAGCAACGTCCAGGCGAAGCAAGAAAAACAAGCGTGTGCAGCTGGAGACAAAATCCTCGGGAGAAAAGCGAGGCGGTGGGGTGGCAGGTCCTTCGCCCGGGTGAACGGCGATGAGGCCTGTTTCCGCCGCAGCATCGGCCCTGTATAGTTTTATCAGCTGCCAAGTTTGAAATTCTAGATCGGCCGTCGTTTGCAAGAAACGGCATTGGTGAAGCTTGCGCGACACAGTGTCGTCGTTCAGCATCAGCTCCAGTGTTAAGACGATAGAACGCATACGATCGACGACTTGAGCAACTTGCACGTGAAGCTCCATGCGCAACTCCTCTGTGGCAGTCTCCACGCCGTCAATCGCCGAAACTTCCTCAGGCATATCCAAAATTACAGCGAGAAGCTCAACCATATTGTCAGCAAGCTGGGGCAGATAGGTCAAATCAAGTAGGTTGACGATGTCTGGCGACGAGTAGATATACTCCAAGACGCTCATAACTTCTTTCTGTTCCTCCCCGCCTAGCAATAGGTAAAAAATACCGCGGCTAAGCTCCAATCCATTCTGCATTCCCTCCAAGGCATCCGCAGTTGCAATATTCTTAATCAGCGTTGTGGTAGCCCATTTGTTCGATCGTGATTTTGCTGCCACTTCGACGGCCTTTGATAATTTTCCAGCCAGCAAAAAGATGGGTTCCTGAATGCGTTCACCTTTATTCAGAATACGGTACTGGAGAATAACAGTCTCACGATCGTCGAGCAAGTCATTCAGGCGAAAATTGTCGACTACTTGGTTCCATATAATGGCAAAGCGAAGACGGACAACATCACGGTGATGCAACTCACCAGCGTCTCCACTGTCAGGAACAGGAGCCATTCCATCCGACGGTGGCTGCTTTGTCTTGAGCGACACCACCTTATCGTCGAACAGCTTCGGTGCTCCAGCCATTCCCGTCTTCAGTTGAGCCAAGCCGACGTAGTGCCCGATGTTCATGCGCTTACCCATTATCAAACCGATAATTGACTGGTACAGAATGAACCAAATCTGCGTATCGTACATGTACACGACAAAGACTGGTGCCCACAGTGCAAGGATGAACATGATATTACGACCCGACTGGAATACGCCGTTATCATCAATAGAGATATTGTAAATGTCAATCGATGGTGCCATCAATGGGCGGATCATGAATTGCAATGCGAAAAAGAACTTGCCAAAGAAAATCATATACCACGACATGGAGTATCTCGAGTAATTTTTCCATGGCTGCGACGTATAGCGTCCCACATATTGTCGACCTGTACCATTAAGTGCATTCATGATACCAATGCACCGAATAAGTCGTGGTAAAAATGCTTGACATATTGCTGCAATCAGTACTGGGATACAATAAATCACCAAGTACACTAATCCCATGGACAAATATGAGCCCTGAGTACCTCCACCTGGTAAAAAACTGCTTTTAGACCCAAGTAATGCAGATGCATCTGGAGAAAAATGAACGGCCATGAATAGTCCAAAAAAGAACGAATGCCAAAAAAGTCGACAGAAAACTCCAAGTGCCATCCACGAATCTTTGTAAAGTCTGGAACCATAGAGCCAAATTTGAAGAACTGCTTTAATTGCCATGAGTCCTGTGACAGTGAGGAAAATCGTATAAAATGCATGTGCTCGAATTTTGTTTTGATTCGACGTAAAAATTCGAAGAAAAAATCCAAGTCCGCCATCATCATCGCCTTCGGCCATATATGACACGTAGGTAATAACAATCATAATGTGGAACATCACGACTAAAAAGTACCAGATTCGAAAAAAGGCCAATACTGGATTAAACACACTACGTTTCTCTTTAAATGTTTTTGGATCATGGACTTCCAACATTCTTGCAACATCCATTTCGTCACAATCAAGACATTTGGCCGTCCAGAAAAACTCGTTGACGTCATCATAATTGGTCGTATCTTTATGATCAAGAGGCCGCTTTCCTTTTGGAGCCTTTGCGGATCCCATTTTAGCGATTACGTAATACACTGGTCGAACAATTTCATTGAGATAAAACCCTTCCTCCACGTTAGGTAAAGTGTCTAAAATATCAAGTTTTTGTGCCATTTTGTGATACAAAAAGCAAATACATTCCGGCATAAAACGAAGATTGCCTGCTTCACCCCATAAAAGTAAGAAAAGAGCCAGTTCTTTTTCCATCCGACTCGTTGTCACCTCTTTTTCCGTATTGGAAGCTCGTGGAGGTGTACGTAAATATTTGCACCACATGAGATAATTCTTAAAGAATTTCGTATGCACTCGACTAAGTGCGGTTTTTGTGATAAACTCGTTGCTTTGAGTTGCTCCTTCCGGGGCCTCATAGCGAACACGCATTTGATAATTTGTGACCCAACAGCCCAAATTTTCCTTTTGGTTTGCCACGCTACTGGTTTGGAACCCAAATTTACTCTGTAAAAGCTCAAAAGGACCATATGTTGCAGCGTGAAAGCTTTCAAGACGATGAAGAGCCATCTCCCGATTGACATCCAAGTAATTGCTTTCCGCTTGGCGACGTACGGGTGTACGGCCGTCGGGCCCAAGTGCCATGGTAAACGGTTTTTATCTGGATATTTGTCGAGAAAAAAAAAGAGAGAAAATAGTCACTCTCTTGGACGACAAAAGATGAATGAGAGGACGAGCGAGAGTAGAGTGAGTCTCTTGGGCCAAACCTGATTTTTGAGGTGAAGGACGGAACATTCTACGTAATAGTTAAAGCTTTTTTTAGTAGCCAATAAGATGCGAAGAATGTATGGGCGAAAAATGGATATTTTCAATAAAATGGGTATTGACAAAAGTTGATCAAAATATCCACGACTCAGAAAAGTGGATATTGCAGCTGCTTGCTTAGTTACACCTATTCATGTGTGTGTGAGTGTCCCAACTGCCTCGCTTGGATCTTCGTGTATAGTATTGAGCCATTTGTCTTGAGGTATAAGGCTTGTAGTTTAAGGACAGTGTTTGCCTGGCATCACTGAGTCAAAAAACGGGTGATGTCGCAAGCTTGTCCGATTAATCAGTTTAAAGACTATGATCTTTTTTTCCACGCGCAGAGGAATTCTGAGGTCTTCTCACTGGTAAAAGCAATAACTAGTCTACTGATCATTCGATCACTTGGCCACAGACATGGGTAAAATGGACTGTATATCATTGACTGTGTATCTGATTGCAAGTCTCCTGGAACAATCATGTACTTCTGCGGAGTATAGTGAATGCATGTTAGTGATGATGTAAGATTGTCATAATGAATGGACGTCGCAGACATCTCGGTGCGGAAGCTGATCTGGGACACCATTTTCCGTATTGTCTCTACCCGTGACGAGCTGAAGATTACGTTGTACAGAAAAATTTGCCTTAAGAAATTCCGGTCTGGCAAGTGAGTCCGTTACATAGTATTGACACTCATGTAAAGTGTCAATAAAAATATCATGATAGCTAATAATATTGACAATATTATATTTTGTTATAATATTGTCCTCGCACTTCTTAAAGTTGGAGATGCCCTCAATTGGTTGATATTGGCCATTATATCAATTAAGGCGCTGACCAATGAACGATGGACGCGCCCAACGTATGAAGGGCACGAAGGTAGCATACATATTTGTACTTTTGTATAGTTAAGACAAGGTTATTAAGTTTTATTAGATAGTTTAACTATATTAAATACAGTTCTTTTTTCCGTCTCAACTAAGCACTTGTTTAGTTGCTAAGCTTCCTCTGTCTCTTGTGTAAGAGAGGTTCTAAGGCACCTGCTTTCACTGTCATCAGTGAAAGTAGACTAGTCGAAGGGTGTAAAAGGTTTATTAGCGTTAACAGTGGCACGCTCAAGGACTACTAACACTCGAGTGTGACCACTCAAATGGCGGTGGCATTGGTGGCAAGACACCAATAAAGTAGTCGCCTCACGACTGCGTGCTAGTGAGTACGACTGTGAAGTCCAAGAAATATTGCATACTTTTGTCTGAGTCTGACTCTCCATTATGGATTGTCAAGACTACAGACGTAGGGTTGGCAGAGGTGAGCGATTTAGGATCGCCGACCTGCTGTTAATTCGCGGCCTTTCTTTTGAAGCAGCGCGCTGAGTTGTGGTTGATGCGCTCGTTTTCGCGCATACGACGAAGTATGAACCTCACTGTTATAAAGCGCAAAGCTTCTTGAAGATTGAGTATCTTAAAAGATGGGGTATATGTCCCATCAATGCGCTGTTTTAATCACCACTTTAAGGTGATAGCAGTGGCGTGCTCTCATTGTATTCTACGAGAGACAGAACTTCATCCGCGCAATAAGTAGTGTTCCCTGCTGACAAGCTAAAATTAGATGTCGACTTTGTCACAGAGACACTCAGCGACGGCTGCGAGTTATCGCGGCGCGTGCGCTTTGTTTTGGTCTGCATGAGCGCCTTTTCAGGTGACCCATCAGCCTTACCACGTTTCGGTGGCATCGTCTCTTTTCGATGTTTTACAAAATGTAAACATCGTTCTAAAACGGGGGATGGTGTAACAGGGTATCTAGTTACACGTAAACATTAAGTAATATACTTAATGTTTGGTCTAAAAGTATCCATGATTACTTCTGACCTGTCACTTGGGTGCGATACACAAATGTGATCCACCCTCGTGAATGTGATATCCATTGATGGATTCACATAAGAAGGGATGACGCTAGTTGAAGCTAGGCATCACGACGTCTCAGAAGGACGTCATTAGCGAGCTTAAATCTAGATCTAAGATCATGCGACAGGATACGCTTCTAAAGAGTCGCGTATCCGATCTATATATATATATAGCCAATCAGTAGTTAAGTATATATTTAGTTATAATTAATTAAATATAGCTCAGTCTTGAATTTACTACACTGTCTACTACGCACAAGTAAGCTTCTGCGTGACGTAAGTAGGACACTTGATAATTGTTCGTTGCGTTCTCGCTTAAGCGAGAGGCAACTGGTGGTACGACTGCTTAAGCAGTCGACCAACCTCCCAACCACCCTCGCACGCGAAGGTAAGACGGTCAAATCGCTTCCTCGCTTGTGCATAAGGTGTGTGCTCGTAGTACGAGGCAACTTCATAGAAGTGCCCGTCTACACTTGGTAGCACTAGTAGTCCTTCCCACGACCCGTCTCTCTGAGCGTGCGTGTGGTTAACATGGTCCTTAATATGGACTGGAGTGACTTCCCTCACCTCTCCCAACATCATAGGAAGTTGGCAGAGCATATGGCACAGATACTTGGTGAACAAGCCCTGGTCAATCTCTTGCATTGTCCTCCTGAGCAACATGTTGCTCAGTTGGAGCAATTTGAGACGTTTGTGCTCGGACAGCGTAGAAACGCGTCCGAGGTGAACAGCCAAGCCACCGCTGAGTCCATCACTAAGACTCAGGATGAGCTTAGGATTGAGCAGGCACGTAATGAGGCGCTCAACAGGACTGTTGAGACGCTCTCTGCCCGGCCTGCTCAACCGAGGCCCATTCGGATGGACCCTCCGAAGTTCGATGGAACTAGCCCTCACGCGATTAATCACTGGCTATTAGCAGTTGAGCAATGCGGTATGGCGCAGCTCATCGAAGACGACACCAGAATGGTGTCGTATGCCATGTCCAACTTGCGTGGCAAAGCGTCAGAGTGGGCATACTCTGCGCTGATGGCAAATGCTGATGCATTTCCATCATGGGCGATCTTTAAGTCAAAGATTCGCGCCATGTATCAGCCGCCTAACAACGAAGTGTTGCTTATGGCGCGCTTCTTTGGAGCACGACAGGCGAAACGCTCTCTGCAAGAGTTTGTGCAGGAGATGCGTTCGCTGTCGGCGTCCATCAATGGGGAACCGATACCAAAGCGTATCAAGGTAGCCACGTTCATGAATGGACTTAGGCATGGCCCATCGCGTCAGGCCCTTTTCAGAAAGATGCCAGCGACGATGGAAGAGGCAATTAACATTGCCTTGATTGAGGAGCAATCCTACAAGAGCGCCTCGACGAAAGCCTATTACAGGCCGTCGACCGAAAGGTCTGATGCCACTCCTATGGAGTTAGTCAATGCAGATGCTATCTGCTACAAGTGCGGCAAGCGAGGCCATATGATGGCTCGCTGCTATGCCAAACTTGCTGCTGATGCTAAGGCAGCCAGCAAAAGGTCTCCCAACCCGAAGGGAGGTGCGAAAAACCAGCGTGCACGACGCACGGGTTCAGCACCTGCCCAAGATGGGTCGGGAAATGCGGGAGCGCAGTAGGGGCGGGATGCCCTACTGTCGCGGACTCTGAAGCTACCCCTAAGTTCATAGTGATCGAACAAATGGGTAGCATAGTCCCTGAGGTTCCGAAAGGTCGGACCTCAACCCTTTTGGTATATAGCGCTCGAGTACGAGGCTATGACCAAGTGATGACCCTTCTCGTGGATTCGGGTGCATCACAAAACTTTGTGAAACTCGCGGCTCTGAAAAGGAGACCGGCTAGTTATGAGTCGCTTTGCCAGGATGGCAAGCGAGAAGAGGCGATCGTTCGTTTAGCGAACGGTGCACTCGTTAAGTCGGAGGGAGTTCAAGTTGAACTCACCTTCAGTTTCAGTGACTTCTCCTGTAAAGAGAAGTTCACAGTGCTAGGTATGGAGAGTCCGTATGACCCTATCCTAGGCATGCCTTGGTTGGCTCAACACCAACCATGGATAGACTGGCGTACACGAACAGTCGCTAACTCTACGCAGGACACCGGAAAGGATGTGCTCCTGCGAGAGGCTTATGTGGCTGATGCTGTGTCCAACACAGTCGAGGGTGCGATGACGGTATGTCAATCGACACCAGGGACTACCCAGCTCGAAATGAGTGGTGTAGTTGTGAGTGCACTGGCGGAAAGCCAGGTGACACATATTCCTACCCAGGTCGAAAAGACTGGTGTAGTGAATGGGGCGATGTGACAAGTAGTCATGCGTCCAATGGTCCTGCACAGAGCCGAGAGCCTGTGGCAGTTGATGGTGGACTGACAGCAAGTCAAGCGCCACAAGAACCACATTGAGACTATTCACCGGAATCTGCTTCATATCAAAGTCTCTAAGGCACAGAGCCAAGAGCCTGGTGCGGTTGGAAGGAGTGCGTTAGCTGACGAAGCAACGACACTTTCTTCCAGGTCAAAGGTCGTGGTGACTCGAAGAACGAGCACCAGACGTATTAAGACGATTAAGGGCACGTCGAAACGAGTGAACCTTGGATCAGTCTCGGTCCAAGAGGACGGACCTACGAACGAGTTGTTCGAGGCCGTCGAAGACAAAATGCCGGAGGCATCCTTAGTTGAGGTGCTCCAACTTGTCTTGGCATCTGCCGAGGAGATAGTAAATCTCTCGTAGATGACGTGGGATCTGTTCCTGTCTGAACTAAAGGAAGGAAAGATCCACGAGATAGTCGCACCAGTTCCAGAAGAGAACGTGGTGGACTGTTGCTCTTCATCCACAATGGATGAGAGCGTCTTGGAGACCGACAAAAAGAAACGGTTCGCTGCTCAAGGCTGGGATGCCTTGAAGGACAGCCCGTTCTATGATGTTCCGTGGAAACACCGTGATGTGTT